ACAACGCGCTTTCAAGAAAGTATTGAAACACTACTTCTTTTTGGTTTAAGATAGCTAATCGCTCATTTCCACGATCACCCTATTTGTTCTTGTACCATGATTTTGAACTAGTCACTGATATTGCACTCACGCGCACGGTACATTTCACTGGAAATATAGGTCGCGAAACATTTAAAGGGCACCGGCGATACTCATTATGATTAGTAGCAGCAGGCGCACCGCGGCGGCCAAGGCCTCCGACATGATGACCAAGGCGATGTCCCTCAAGGCCGGCAAGGAGCTGGAAGGTAATAAGCCAATAACCCGTTCTATGTCTTCATTCAAGATTCTTGCTTTTGCTTCGAATCGCCATCTCCTCAAGGTGGCCACAGACAGCCATGTGATTCTGGGGTCCGAGACCTCTACCCCTCTCGAGGTGCTTGATAGTATACGGGCCCAGGAGATGGTTCAGGCTTCGGTGGCCGAGGCGAAGGCCCGTCAACACATTGCGCGTACCGTGGCGGCTGAGAGGCGTGCTGCTGTGGCTGCTGATGCTGCAAGGGAGAATGCGGCATCGGCAGCTCCGGATGCGGCTTCCGTGGATTCTAGGCCTACGCGTGGCCGTGGCCGTGGCCGCGGCCGTGGGCGGGGTCGATCGATTGTGTCTGCTAGAGAGGAGAATTTTGATGGGGCAGGGGCCCGGTCCCCCTTAGATATGCAATGAAAGGCCTAATATGGAATATGAGGGGATTTGGTCAAAGCGATCGCCGTCGGCAACTTATTGAATACATCCGTGACCAAAAGCTCGATTTCGTGGGTCTCCAGGAAACCATTCGGTCCTCGTTTGAGTCATATGGGCTTGAGCCATAGGTGGCACTTTCAACTTCCGGTGGGAATGGCTTCCGGCCTCTGGCCGATCAGGGGGAATTCTGTTGGGGGTGAAGACGGATAGTTTTGAGGTGGTGGGCTTTACGCGGGGATCCTTTTTCCTCGCTGTGGATGTCATCCAGTGTAATAATAATTTTAGATGGGAGTTAGTGGTGGTGTATGGCCCAGTAGACCATGATCGGTTAATTGATTTCCTCCGCGAGATTTATGCTAAGGCCACGGCTTCCCCCTGGCCTATTGTCATCGGTGGGGATTTCAATCTTCTGCGGGGTGCGATAGACAAGAGTAATGGTATCATTACAGACCATAGGTTGGTAGATACCTTCAATGAGTGGGTAGCTGACCTTGATCTCATTGAGCTGCCTAGGGTGGGAGCTCGTTTTACGTGGTGTAATAATCAGGATGACCCGATTAGATGCGTGTTGGACCGTGTCTTCGTCTCCACTGACTGGGAGGCCAAATTCGCGGGATGCTCGTTAGTGGCGGAACCAAGGCTGGGCTTCGACCATTGTCCGCTTATTCTTAACTCTGGAGAAGCCCCCTACCGCGCCACCAAGCGCTTCTTCTTTGAGAAGCAATGGTTACTTCAGCCGGGCTTTGTGCAGCGGGTCTCTTCGATTTGGTTAGCGGCTAGGGATCGCCCCCCTCACCTATATGGCCCTTTATGCGATACTATGGACATTTGGCAACATTGCGTGCGCTTGAGTCATCGCCACCTGCGTGGCTGGGGCGCGAACGTGGGTAGCCAGATGAAAACAAGAAGAGAGGCCCTGATGAGTGAAGTGGCTGCCTTGGACACCAAGGTAGATTTGAGCGGCCTATCGCACGAGGAGTGGGCGAGAAGGTACGCAGTGGAGGACGAAATGATATTTATCTTGACCTATGAGGAGATTTACTGGAAACAGAGAGGTCAGAAAAATTGGGTGCTCAAGGGGGACGCGAGTACCCAATTTTTTCATGCGGTGGCAAATGGGCGACGCCGGAGATGTATGATCCGTGTTCTCCATGATGGAGATAATGTTATCACCGATGATGGCGCCCTTCAATCACATATTTATGCATTTTACCGGGAACTTCTGGGATCTTCAGGGGTGGGATCAGCATCTCTGAACGACTCAATCTGGGATAATGAGCGATTGGTCTCTGCATATGATAATTCCATCCTCACTAAGCCTTTCACGCTTGAGGAGATAATAGCTAACCTAAACCAGATGAGGGTGAACACGGCGCCCGGGCCTGATGGCTTCCCGGTCATCTTCTATAAGCGGTTTTGGAACATAGTGGGACCACAATTCGCCCACCTTGTGAATGAATTCACCAGTGGCCGAATAGACATTAAACGCCTAAATTATGGGGTGTTGGCTTTGATTCCGAAGATGCCGGGTGCAGACCAAATTAGACACTTCCGCCCCCTCACGCTCATTAATGTCAGCTTTAGGCTGATTGCTAAGGGATTTGCCTCTCGCATTGCTCCGGTGGCAGACAAGATTATTGATAATCTTCAATCCGCATTTATTAAAGGTCGAAGCATCCTGGACGGTGTAGCGGTGCTTCATGAGGTGCTTCATGAGATAAAGAATACAAAGGAAGAGGTGTTCATTCTCAAGCTTGACTTTGAGAAAGCCTATGACCGGGTCCGGTGGGACTTCATTGAGGAGGTGCTACACAAGAAAAACTTTGATCCGCAATGGGTGAGCTGGATGCGACAAATTGTGAGGGGTGGGCAAACTGCTATTAACATTAATGGCTCGTTTGGCCCATACTTCCGCAACGGAAGGGGACTGCGGCAGGGTGACCCGATCTCTCCCCTTCTGTTCAATATTGTGGCATACGCGCTGGCTTCGATTTTGGACAGCGCCAAAGATGCCGGTCACATCTCGGGTGTTGCTGAAAGGGTGGTACCAGGTGGGCTGTACCACCTTCAATATGCTGACGACACCCTTATCCTCATCAAGAACAATGAAGAGGCGATTGCTAACCTCAAGTTTTTGCTCATGTGCTTTGAGGCCATGTCAGGTCTTAAGATAAACTTTGATAAGAGTGAGGCCTTTGTCACGGGAGGTGACTTGGAGTCCCAGCTTAGAGCAGCCCATATGATGAACTGTGAGTTGGGATCTATACCCTTCAAATATTTGGGCATGCCCATTTCGGATCGAGCTTTATCCATGGCTGATTTTGAGCCAATGGTGGACAAGGCGGCTAAACGAGTGGAACCGTGGCAGGGTAAGCTACTAGCCTTGGGAGGCCGGCTAGTGCTTTTAATGACTGCCTAACAAACATTCCTATGTTTGTCATGGGCTTTTATCTTTTGCATGACGGGACCCATGAGAAATTGGACAAGATTCGGTCCAGATTCTTTTGGGCTAAGGAAAATGGGAAACAAAGGTACCATATGGTCAAATGGGATGCGATTGCATCTTCAAAAGAGGTGGGTGGTTTAGGTATTATCAACTCCAGAGTTATGAATTGGTGCGTTATGACGAAGTGGGCCTGGAAAATTTTGACGGGACAAGGTGGGCTATGGCTCTCCATATTCAAGGCTAAATATCTTGAGGATGATGGAGTGACCTTTCGACCTCTGGTCCGACGGTCACAGTTTGCAAATGATGTTCGCAAGGTTCAACCTTTGCTGCGGCTTGGGACGAAATTTGTGGTGCATAATGGACAATTGACGCTATTTTGGAAAGATGCTTGGAGGGGTGAGCGATCGCTTGACATGTCATACCCCAATCTTTTTGCGATCGCGGGCCAGCAGGAAGCGCGTGTTGTGGATATATGGGTGAACGGGCGCTTCCGGCCATCTTTTAGGAGACCCCTTGGGCCTAGCGACATCCAGGATTGGGAGGACCTTCGGGAGGCCATGGCCTCGGTGCGGCTTTCTGCTGAGCGCGACGATGTCCATTGGCGATTAGAGCCATCTAGAGCCTTTTCGACCGGCTCTCTGTATAAGGAAATCTTCAAAGCCCCCCCCCCCAGTTTATGATCTTCGATCGCTTTGGAAAGCAAGAATGCCAGCAAAAATTAAAATCTTTTTATGGCAGCTGGCTCGAAACCGGATTCCCAGCGGTGACCAGATCCAAAAAAGACATGGCCCGGGAGATGGCTTGTGTGTTTGGTGCGGAGAAGAGGAATCTAGCAGCCACATTATCTTTCGATGCATTGTGGCTCGGATGGTGTGGAGCTCCCTTCGAGATGCGACTGGATGCTCGTGGAACCCGAGTGGATTCGCTGAACTATATGGGCTCATCATGGCTAGCAATGCCCAGGATCGTAAGCTAGCTTGGCTTGGCGTTGGGGCGCTTGCTTGGTCTATCTGGACTACGCGGAACAAAGCTACCATTGAGGAAATTTTCTTTAGACACCCGGCTGATGTTGTGTATAAATTGGTCATCCTTTTGCAGCTCTAGAAGGGGTTGACGAGACAACGGGCCCGACCTGGAGTGGAGCGCCTCATCGCCCGCTTGAAGGCCAAGTGTGCTGAGCTCCGGCGTGCCGGATAGAGGGCTGCAACGGCCGGCGTGCCGCCCTCCTCCGACCCCCTGACTGCTCCTGGAGCGGCCTTCTTCTTTCCTACTGCCCACGACCGGCGCTGCGTCGCTGTACTAGGCTGTTGTGCCTTGTAACCCTGCTTTTTTGGCTATGTTTGTCTTTGTACTTTGCCGAATATTTGTACTCTAAAGGCCTCATTCTTAAGACCGGGCAAGCGCCTCCTCTCTAAAAAAAGAAATACGCACAGGCTATGGCTTGCCAATGCACACCATCAGCCCAGCTTCGGTCAATCGGCCTCTCGTCTGGTCTCTTCGTTTAGTCTTCGTCCTGTCACAGCCTCTCGGGCCGTTCGCGAAACGCCACGGACGTTTTCCCCACCATCATGCGCTCGCCGACCGTTGGGCGCCACACCTCTGGTGACCCCGCTGCTCAGCCACGCGGTGCCTTCCCGAGCCGCGTATCCCCGATAAATACCTCGATTCGTTCAAATCAATGGGCAAACCAACCCCCTCTGCGCCTCTCACTCTTTCCCTCCCCTTTCGGCAAAAACCCCAACGCCGAGCAGAGCCGCCCCCCTTCCCCACCCAACCAGGCCCCGTCCCGTACCCAACCCCAGCGAAAACTCTAGCCGGCGCCGCCCTCCCATGTCTCTCGGCAGGCCCAGCCGCGGCAATGCCGCCGCAGGCGGCGGTAGCGGCGATGATCGAGCCGCTGCGCCGCTCGGCAACATCTGGCCCCGGAGCTTCGCGCTGCGCGACCGGCGGGGCCAATCCGGCGGCGGCGGCGGTCCGGCGCTGCCCGGCGCCCTCGTCCTCGGGGGCTTCCCGCGGCACGACCTCCCCGCCCCACCCGACGGGCCCGACCTCAACGCCGTCGTCGCGCCGCCGGTGAGCCAAGTTGCCCCAGCCCCAGCTCGTCCTTCCCAGGCCTGTGTACAAAAACTCCGAGCTCGTGTCCATACCCTGGAGACTGCATTTTCTGACGCGGATAGGATTTTAAGGGATATTCAAGGTGAAATACAACAGATGAGGGAGGAGGGGCATGAGAAAGACAGGCAAATCCGATCTATCGTTGAAGATTCAGAGAAGGAACGTCAGACAAGGCACATTAGAATCAAGCAATTCGACCATGATAAAGAGCTGATGCGTGGCACCCTTCAGGGATACAAAGAAAAACTTAAGAAGTCTTCTGATGCATTTCTGGAGTATAAGAAGATGTGTGAAGGAAGTGGCGTGTCATCTTCGGGTGTTGTGGCTGATGAGCAAAATCGTATTCTTATGATGCGGCAGAAGTACGCAGAGGACATTAATGCGCTTCAGAGAGATGTGTGTTTGAGCTTTGCAGCATGTGCTAAAGAGATTACAATGCTGGCAACATGGACTGCATACCTCAACAATGAACTTCAAAGGCTGAATGATTATATACAAATTCCAGATCTCAACAATGGGGGCCCTCAACTGTGAATTCTACATTGGAGGTATTTCCTAACCTCCCCAAACAGCTCATGTTTATACCCTCAATCAGTCTTTGTCTGTTGTTTATGTGTTTGAGTTGAGCTCTGGTCTTAGATGTGCTGATTTTTGCTCTTTTTTAGCAGACTACAAGGGTGATGCAGGTGGACAAGCTTTTGCCATGAAGGATGGGAACTGAAGATGAGGAGGATCGCATATATTTTGGTGTTGCTTACATAACCAAGATGCCGCAACATGGTGCCTTAAGTATTATTAGTTCTGTATTCTGTAGCCTGTACCCGCATACCGTGCTATGAAACAGTGATCGTTACATCGCAAGACTTTGTTTGATGTAAAGCCTATTAGCAAAGACTCAAAATGTAGCCTCACCTGTTCCTTGTCTCCAATAATGTTAACTATTCCATCTATAAGAAGGCTTTGTTTTGACTGCCATATCCAAAGTTTCTTTATTTTTGCCGTTTAACATTATCGCCAGTTGAATTTTCTAAACACACTGCTGTTTCACTCCAACCATTAACTGATATATAATATGAGATTGCGAGTCAAGATTCTTTTCAATTTAGTTCTGGACTTCTAGTTGTTGAAATATATTGCCCGCCTTCCTCCATCAGTTCGGACTTTTGGATGAATTGGCTGGAGCATGAATTCAATATGGTATCCGAGCCAAGAGCTCTTGAATTCAATATGCTCTTTTGGCTTACTCCGTGTAAGATTGATCTGTAATACTTTCGAGGAATAAGTGGTATGATGATGATGGCACGTGCTCATATTATTTTGACTGTTGAGTGGGCCTGTGTCTGAAGTCTGTAGAGTAACAAGATGTTTAGCTTCCAGAACCTGTGAATGTTAGGCTTGAAATTTATTTACCATTCGCAGCTGATTGGTCATTGTGCAATATCTATTGTTTATTGAGGTGCTGACAAGTTATTTATTTGACCAGAGATGATTTTGGACTGAACGGAGGCTTTGACAAATTTTCGTCATTTGAATGGGTATATCTGATGTAGATTACTCCAGTCCTCCCAAGAAAAGATTGAAGCACAGCAGTTCAAATGGGAATGATCGTTATGAAGGGAAACAAGAAACACTAAGAGACTTCTCCTTTTCTTTTGATATTTGTGAGCAAGTTACACTGGCTTGTGGAGTGGTAGATGTTTTTCTCATAACTTCACGCAGTTAGTTGATTGTGTTTATTTTTGTTCTTAAAAGGCTGAGCAAGTTCGATCTTCAAATGATGTTTGGATTTGAGGAAAATGATATGAGTACACTTACATAAAAAGTGGACCCTGACTCTTTAGATGGTAGCAGTGATCCGCAAAGAGGTCTTTCAGGCATGGTCACATATTCCTAGAGATAATGAAGTAAGGACCAAGCACAGGATGGTTTGCACTTTGAAGCCTACTCGTTTGACAAGGCAGGGGATAGTGAAGAACAGAAGGAGTCTGATTTTAAATATTAGTGTTGTATACTGGATGTGCTTTTTAAAATGCACATCCTACAAACTTAAAAAGGTACTCATGAAAGGCTAATACTGTATCTGTATCACTCCCGAATGTGCTTTTAAAAAATGCAAGGAACACAAGCATGCACCACCTGAAATCTTCTCTCTCACCTGAAATCTTTTCTAAACACTTAGGCAAAAACATACACTGCAATCCTGCATCACCCAGGTTGTCAACAACCTCCTTTAATGGCAAACATGGGCAAGAAATGATCACCCTGCAAAACAGTGTGTTGGATTAAAATATTAGTCTGCAGATGTTTGCTATGGTATGCAAATCTTTCTGTCATTTTTTATTGCTGAGCTGTACATATTAATGTGTTTGGTTGGGCTAATTTTGACTGTTTTCAGCTTACAATCTCATCTCATAGCATTACAGTGTTTTATTTGTTTGTTCATTTACACTGATCAAACGGTATATACCTAGCTTCTTTCTTCTGGTATCCTCTCATCACTTTGATGTGATTCTACTTGGATGATTCTTGCGGTGAATGGGAATTTTGGATGGATATTGGTGCAGGTAGTGAGGCCTACGACCATGCCATCATGTTTTGTCAGGTTTACAGGATACCGAGAACTCAAGTGACCAGAATGTCCTGTATTAGAAGTCGTTTCACCATACACATAATGGAACTCTAAAAAAAATCAACAGCTCGGCTTTCTGTTCATCAAATGTAAGGTTACACGGCCTATGAGAGCCCTGATTGACACCTGTCTTAAGGAAAAAAAGGGTAATATTAATAGTTATAAAACCACTTCACAGAATCAACAAATTGTTCAGTACCACAGAAAATATCAAAACATCACATGAGTTGGAAAACAGCATCGATGTGTCACTAGGATGTGGCATCAGGCCCCACATATAAGCCTCACACTTGATATTTTCCAATTTACACAATTTTGTGATTTTACAAGCTTTTTTTTACGTAAACTGGTGCATAAATTATAAGTTATAGTTCAGGAATTAAGACCAGTGTTTATTGAATGAGACATGTCATATTCCAGGTCTATTTATGAAGTTTAAGATATGATTTATCATTCTAGTCCCAAACAATGAAAACTAGCAAGCAGAGATATCCATAATCTATAGTACCTATCCAACAGATGCAACTAAATGCTGAGTTGGTGCAAAACAAAAGCAACATAAGTAATGCCGCATGGTACAGTTCTTATTTAGCGTACTAAGACAATATTTACAGCTTCTCTCTCTGATAAGGTAAGTGACTTAGCATCTTGATTAGCAGCCACATGGGGGAGGGGAATCACAATTATAATACATTAATACTAAAATCAATATATAAATCATTATCTGAATCAGTAAGCCAGCCAAATGGAAGCATATATAAGTCTGGCAAGGTTTTCCTTGTAATCTGGTGGCCCTGATCTTATTTGCAGCATTGAAGGGCACTGTGCAATATGCAAACTAATAAGTTTTTATTTACTAGAGAATATCAAATAAAAACTAAATACAGAAATAAGGAGTATGTAATGGATATATGGAGAATATCTGTTTTGATTTACCTTGACATGGTAAAATGTGAACTAACATCTTTCCAGTTGTTCCAATCATCTCTTGTTATCTTATACCTCCTCCGTCCCAAAATAAGTGTCGCTGAGTTGTACTAAATCAGCGACACTTATTTTTGGGACGGAGGGAGTACATATGAACATGCTCACTGATGTTTTTAGCTAATTGTGCAGTGACTTCAGTAGTTCAGTTCCTAGTGAGAAGGAGAGTCTATTTGGCGGTCAAGCTCTCCCAGGAGCTGCAATTGAGCAACCAGACTTGTGTAACTAACTGTAGGATGTCAAGTTATTTAGCTGCGAAATAGTAATTACTTCTTCCCGGCTATACTCAGTATAGAAGATACAATCAACCTTCACTGCAAGAATGGTACATATGAAACAATCTCTTCAAACTCAAGTTATGGCAACACTTAAGAAATGTCCGCTATTCCCAAGTTGGGAGCTTTCTACCTATCATATTATCATGAGGATCATGTAACTAAAGTAAACTGCGGACTTTTTTTGGCAAAAAGGCCTAAGGCTAGATATTATCATGAGAATCACATGACCTTACAAACACACCCAATTTTTTTATTTTTTATTTAGAAATGGGGGAGGACCCCTGACCTCTGCATCTGGACGATGTATGCGGCCACTTTATTAATTATTCACACAAGACCTTACAAAGTCATACAACAGTAAGACTAAAGCCATCGTCTGGGCAACATCTGTCGCTACTCCTATCTAGTTGATGTAGGGATACTGATAGTCTGAGCCTAATACCAAACAGACCTCGCAGCCAAACCTAACATCTAAGACCTGAGGTCCCAATCAGGACGCCTGCCGGGTATGGGGCACCCACCAGTCCAGCGCACTCCTCAACCAGGACGCATGCCGTGTATGAGGCTGCCGCAGCCACCTGCCACCAATCCATCTTCAGTGTTGTAGTGCTGCATCTACCTTACCCGGTCTAGCTGTCGTCGACGCCGTCACAACGCCAGACAACGCCACCATCCTGCGCTCGTCCATCATCACACGCCCACCGGCGAGACCCCGCTGCTCCATGCCGCTGAGACCCGCCGTTGTCGACGTGCCAGATGCCACGATGCTCCTCTGACGCGAAACACCACCTGCTGCCACTGGTCCCATCCCCTTCGCATGCAGTTCGTCAAACCTGTTGGGGAAGGCAGTAATTTCAAAAAAAATCCTACGCACACGCAAGATCCATCTAGGTGATGCATAGCAACGAGAGGGGAGAGTGTTGTCCACGTACCGTCGTAGACCGTAAGCGGAAGCGTTATGACAACGCTGTTGATGTAGTCGTACGTCTTCACGATCCAACCGATCCTAGCACCGAAGGTACGGCACCTCCGCGATCTGCACACGTTCAGCTCGGTGACGTCCCACGAACTCTAGATCCAGCTGAGTGTCGAGGGAGAGCTTCGTCAGCACGACGGCGTGATGAAGATGATGATGAAGTTACCGACGCAGGGCTTCGCCTAAGCACTACAACGATATGACCGAGGTCGAAATCTGTGGAGGGGGGCACCGCCCACGGTTAAGAGATCAACTTGTGTGTTCTAGGGTACCCCCTCCCCACGTATATAAAGGAGGGAGAGGGGAGGCCGGCCGGCCTCTCTAGGCGCGCCAAGGGGGAGGAGTCCTCCTCCTAGTAGGAGTAGGACTCCCCCCTTTCCTAGTCCAACTAGGAATAGAAGGAAGAGGGAGAAGGAGAAAGGAAAGGGGGGCCGGCCCCCCACCCAATTCGGATTGGGCTGGGGGGAGGGGCGCCCCCTCCTAGGCTGCCTTCTCTTCTCTCCCACTAAGGCCCATTAAGGCCCATATGCCTCCCGGGGGTTTCGGTAACCCCCGGTACTCCGGTAAATGCCCGAACTCACTCGGAACCATTCCGATGTCCAAATATAGTCTTCCAATATATCGATCTTTATGTTTTGACCATTCCGAGACTCTTCGTCATGTCCGT